ATAATAAACCTAAGATGTTATCATTCTTTGGAAGAGAAGTACAAAAGCTGAAGAAGTTTAACATCCTTTTTAGTTTACATAGGTAAATTTAGACTTGCTCTTCAATTCTTGAAATATTAGAATTCGGAGGTATCCTGTTCATTGAGAAAAGTGTACTTGGGGTAAAAAGAAAGTAGACATCATGGGGAGAAATTGTGAATGAACTGCCATGTGAATACTTTGATGCCATCGTTAATAAAGTACTGTGTTGTATTAATTGGATGGGACGGTTGTCATGTTACTCATAAATATGGGTTTTCTTTGAAATTTTTGGTTTTACAGTGTTGTGTTTGAGAGAGAATTCTGTATTAGTATAGTCAGATGCTTGTGTTTTCTCAGTCACATAGAGAAAAGAAATTAAGTAATGGAATTATATTTTTAATTGCAAAGACAAATGTAGGATTGACATCTAGTGAATGATTTTTGTCCTTTGGACAATTGAGGGAGAGTTTCTTGGACTTAGTTGGAAAAATCTATATTGTGGTGGTTGTTTTTTTTTCAAGTGTTAGCTTTTTAAAAAAAATTTGGTAAAATACACATAATCTTTAAATTAAATAATATTCAGTATATTCACATTGTTGTACAGCCAATATCCAGAATTTTTTTATGGTGTAAAATTGAAACTTTGTAGCTATTAAACAACTCCCCATTTCCCCCTCCTGCCACCTCCAATACAGTGTTGATTGGAATTGATGAGAGCACACATCCTTGTCTTGTTCTTTATCCTATGGAGGAAGCTTTCAGTTTTTCACTATTAAGTATGATGTTAGCTGTGGGTTTTTCTTAGATGCTATTTATCAGGTTGAGAAAATTTGATTTCTGACACAGTCTCTTGTTTTAGGTCTATTCAGATTTTCTATTTTTTCTTGTGTCAGTTTTGGTAGTTGTGTGTTTATCAGAATTTACCCGTTTTATCTGTACTGTCTGGTTAGTTGGCATACAATTGCTCATAATATTATCTTTTTTATTTTGATGAGGTGGTTAGTAATAGCTCCCTTTTGTTCATGATTTTAGTAATGTGTGTCATTTCTCCTTTTTTCTTCATCATCCTAGCTGCAATTTTGTCATTTTGGTTGATCTTTCGAAGAACCAACTTTTGATTTGTTCATTTTCTCCATCATTTTCCTGTTCTCTGTTTATCTGTAATGTTTATTATTTCCTTCATTTTACTTGCATTGGGTTTAGTTTGCTCTTTTCTAGTTTCTTAAGGTAGAAGATTAGAATACTGGTTAGAGATTTTTTTTTTCCTTGAAAATAGGCCTTTGCAGCTATACATTTCTTTCAGAAATTATGTCAGTACCTTTTTTGATTTCTTTCACTAGTCCTTAATTGTCCCTCCTCCTCATCCTGTATTTTCTCTTCATCCCACACATACTCCTTTGGAAAATATCTTATACATGCCTGTAGCTTCAACTCTTACCTATATTCATTAGCTTCCCAAATCTGTGCCTCCTAGACTTTTCTCCCGAGTTCTGGACTCATATTTCCAAAAACCTAATAAATTTCAGTTCTTATATTCCCACTCTGAGCCTGCTTCTCCTCTTCTGTTCCTTTTTTCTGTATGGTCCTCAGCCACCTAAACCAGAGTTAAGCTAGGAAGTTAACTTAAACTCTCCCCTCTCATATTCTTGGTCATTGTTTTTTTTTTTTTTTTTTAAGGTTTTCCCTGTTATTCATTAGTTTAACTTTTCCTTTGTATTTCCACTGTATTTCCATTTCTGCTTGGTTAAGTCCTGCATTGTCATCTGAACTCTTTGCTCCTAACCTTTGTTCTGTTATCCAGTCCATTCTCTAGATGCTCCCAGAATTGATGCTCTGTCTAAAACGCAAATCAGACCATGCCACACTGTCTTACTGAAAGAATTTTCTGATACTTATGGGATAAAAGTCTCCTTGGCCTCGTATATGGAGTTTTTCATAATCTGGTCCTTACACTCTCCATTCTCAGCTCTTCTTTTCCCGAACTTTATGCTGCTTCAATATAAGCTGCTTGTAAATTTCCTGATACATACTATGTTATTCTCTCCAAAATCTGTGATTTAGACCTTGTTTGTATCTGTTGATGTGGACTTCCAACTTTATCTAGTAAAAGTAGTTGTTAAAACTAAACACAGTTTTATTTCCTGCAGTTTTTTTTGTCTTTTTGATATGACTTATTAACTCATTCTCTTTTTTTAAAAAAATACTTATACATTCTCATACATGGTGTTCTAATACTTTCTCCAATCTATCTCTACTATTCCTCTAGATAATTGGTTTTGTTTCTCTCATCTGTATCTTAGTCATATTTATCTCACATTGGTGAAACATAAAAATCTCTGAGACTCTGGATTATTTTCATCGTTTACTTTCTAGCATCAGATGTATTTCAAAATGTTTTATATAGAATTTTATAAAATTAAAAATTATTTATTCACTGAAATTTGTTCTAAAAAAATTAATAAAAGTATAAGGACCAGGGGGATATTATATATTAATAGTCATAGACATTGAGTTTTAAGCATATGTCTTGATTTGTTGTTTCTTGGAGAGGATCTTAGGACTTAATGGTGGTTGTTTTTTGGGGTGTGTTTGAAATATTCCATAAACTTTCGAAACTCGTGTTTTTAGGTAAGGAATTAAGAATAACTTTGATGTGAAGAAAAGTACTTTTAGGAAAATACTTCACCAATCTCAAAAAACAAATTAAGCCCAGTAGGATAAATTTTATATGATCAGAGAAATTCAAGAAACTTCACAAGTGAAGACATAATATTATAATTATTGTCCCAATAAAGGAAAAAGAAAACAAAAGTTAGGAGAGATATATAATATAAATTTTAGAAACTTCTAAGGCAGTTTGGAAAGGCAAAGTGGTCATTTAAATATCTTAAAGGACAGTATATGGGGGATTATCTTTAAATAGATGCCCATGAACTGAAGTGCCTTTTATTTCATAATATTTGGTTGTGTGGTGGTGCGCTGGAACTAGGCAGCTTGACTGAGAGAATTTAGATTTCGTGATCTTGATAAACTGTAAGTTTAACGTCTCTGTTTCACTTAGTAGATATATTTTAAACACTTAATAATGATGAAATAAGTGATTTGTATAGAAAGATTATAGTTTAGTTTTATAGTTCAATTGAAAACTAGCATATCATTCTGGTTTTCATCTTTCTGTCTCAGTGATGATTTTGCTGCAGGGCTTTCTAGGCTGTTTATTTATAGGATTTTCTTTCTGACTAGACTATAAACTCATTTAAGGTAGAAGTTGGGTTTTATTCATTTCTATTTTATCAGTATTTAGGTCATTATCTAATAGGCTTTCCATAAATGTTAAATGAATGAATTGCTGTCAATTGCTACATAATCCTTGAGTAAGCTTCATATATTTTTGGCAGTATGCTCATTTTGGGAGGGGTGGGAATTAAAATGTGCATCCGTCTTGTTTATTTCAGCGTATTAACTCGGTTCTCTGCTCCAGTAATAGAGTTATTTCATTTATTTGTCTTGCCCTGTGTTACTATTTAATATAAATTTAAAATAGTGGATTAAAGTAGCTAAAGAGCTTAGATCTATTTTCACAGCGGTATATTGCTAATTGATTTCTGTGTCCCATTTATTCTGCTTTTAAATTCCTTTTAATTATGACATGGTTTGTCATGACTATGCTCATTAAACAAATCTCATTTGATGGAGGAGGTAAAGTAATGTTAACCAATTATTTTTATATATCTGCTATAGGATGAGGATAAGTGTGAATGCTAATTGATGTTCGAGGTAAACATTCTCTCTCAAGAATAGGATCCTACTCAGGCTTTTCAGACTAGTTTGTAGGAAACTGGATCTTTGTTCTTCACATGTCCCTTTTTCATTTCAGAGAAGCATTAGTGGGTAGGAATCCAAGAAGAGAGACGAGTAATCCTTAGGCATATGTAACTGTTCCATAGTCTGCATCACTCGAGAGTCACTGTGTGTAATAAGCTGTTACTGATGGGATGACTTGTCACTGTCAACAGTGTGCAGATTGAGAATCATTGATCTAGATCATTTTAGATCTAATTTCTTTTTATTTCTTTTTTCTAATTTCTTTTTAATCACAGCAGACTTTAAAAAAACTTGATTCGTTGCTATGTTCTTTATGTTTATACAGTAAATTGTCACATCCCAGGATATAACAAATGCTATTAGGTTTGTTCTAATACACACAAACTGTAAATCACTTGAGAAGGAATAATTAGGGGGAAAGGGGGAACTAGGCCTTAGCCATAGTAATAAAAGGTTGCAAAGCACATTGGTAGAGGGTTGGAATGACACTCTAAAGAAAGGCACTTGAAGGAAAGTAAACCCAGACCTCAGAATTGCCGTCTTGAATCAGAAAAATGGTAAGGATCTAAGATGAGTTTGAGGGGGACAGAACACATGATGAAATGGCATGAAGTTACGGGCAGGGTTATGATTAAACCTGTATAGGAAAGAATTTAACTAATACTACACAGCCCTGCCAATAAGTAGTATAAGACGTATACTGTAGGTAAAACGGTAAGTCTTTTTCCATTTCCAAACATCCAAGCTACTTTCTTGCTACTGGTTCCTGGAAGATAGACTTCAAAGACTTAAGAAATAAACACAGTAAGACATCACCATTTGGTTAGTGAGTCAGGCGCTTTGGAAAAAACTTAATTTTCAGAATTTATGTTAACTACTATAAAGCAAAATGAATTTATGAATGTCTCATTGAAACTGCAAGAGAGGCTGAAAGTTAAAAAGTTCCTACTGAGTGAGGAAAGTAGTATAAATGGAAATGAATTGTATAAGAATTACTTTTAGATTAATTAAGTGGTAATACCATTAATAATCTATTTAGAGTTCTGCCAATGACTTTATAAATTTACATAGGTTTTTTTTGGGGGGATTGTAACCCTGTTGATTTTTTTTTCCCCTGTAATGTCTTAAGTTTCTCAACTTGTCTATCTTTTAAGAACTGGTGATTAAAAATCCAAAATTAAAGTGTATCTTTTCTTTAGACAGAGATGACAGTTCTACACTAACAAAGCAGGAACTTAAATTCATAGGTATGTACCAAATTCAAGCATGGTTCTAAATGTAATAGTGTTAAATTAATCCTGATGTAGCTTGGAAACCTTCCCATATAAAGCAACATTAGGGATCTGGAGTCACAAAAAATGATGCCTGAAAGGAATTATCTGTAATCTTGGATGTTAGGTGGTACAAACTTTTTTCATGTTCTTATTGTTGTTTGGATTTGTCATATTGCTTAAAACATGGTAGGTGGATTTTAGAATTCCCAATACTGTTTACTTATAAGGGTCTAGGTGCCTAGGTCTTTGATTTTTAAGACCATTTGCTATAGCTGTATCCCTTCTCTCTCACTAAGGAGAAGGAAGAATCTGATACCATATTTCATGATTTATAATAATTCTCTAATTCTTTATATTTCTAAAATACTCAGGATTGGTTGAGAGTGAGCATGTGTATTCCGAACTAGGAAATGGAATCCACTACTCTTAGCCAATTAACATATGCATCTATATCCTTTTCCTTCCCCTAAAACCTTGGTTTTCACATAGTGATAAAACTAATCTTACAGGCTGTGAGTACCTTTAATGTGGAACTTTCCTTCTCAAGACTATCTTAGCTTTTTATCATTTGACAAGTATATATTAAGGTCTTTTATATGTAAGATTCTGGTTAGTTGCTTTGGGGAAGTAAATACATACTACAAATGGATCCTGCCTTTAAGAACACATAATCTAAAAGAAAGAGAAGTATGTATATAAATAACAGTTTCAAGGGATATAGTTATAACTTCTTTAATGGCCAATATGAGTTCAAGATCAAAATTACTTTCAAATGAAGGAATGAGATGTCCAGAGAATGTAACATTTAACCTGATGCTTAAAGAACATGTAAAATTTAGTTATCTGGAGATGGGATCAGAGCTAGACTCCCAATCTCAGGTTTAAAATTAGCACAAGCACTGGTACTGTTGTGAGAATACACAGGCTGTATAAAGTGACAGTAATACTGATATTTGATATGAAAAATAGCAGTGTTAGCTATTAGGCCAAGGAGTCAAAAGTAGTTGGTATTTGAGTTGGGGAAAAAAAGATGATAAAACCTGTTTTTTATGAAGATTCACCTGGTAGTAGCATATAAGAAGACTGAAAAGAGCTAATGCTGGAAGAGAGAAACTAAATAGATTTTTGTTACAATCTACCCAAATATATTGAGGGTTTGAGCGAGCATCCTGGAAGTCAGACTAATGAGACATATATTATCCAAGAAGAACTGGTGGTAAATGAATTGAATGACAGTGGCTGAGGAGGCAGGGTATTCATTTATCAACAAGGTATTTAGGTAGAGACATTCAGCATGTAAAGAAATAGAGCTTGGGCATGAAAGAGAATTGGAACCAGTCCATATAGGCTAACAGCAAAAATTCGGAGACTGGTCATGGCTGAGAAGTGTTGATAGAGAAGACAGTCTAGAAAGAGGTTGGATCAGGGAAGTCTTAATAGGTGGAAAGAAAGACCCAAGATTAAGGATTAAGATTCAAGAGAGGGATATTTGATGGACCAAGAATCTGGAGCAAATGGGAAGAGATCAAGTGAACAAGTAGAAAAATTCAACTTGAAGGAAGGGAATAGCTGTGGAAACATTGTGTTAAAAAAAAAAAAAAAGCAAAAAAACTAAAAAGCTAAAAACACATTTGGTAGGCACAGTGTGGCTCATGCCTGTAATCCCAGTACTTTGGGAGGCCAGGAGTTTGAGACTAGCCTGGGCAACACAGCAAGACCCCACCTCTACAAAAAATTTTTAAAAATTTAGAAATTAGCTGGGTGTGGTGGCGTGGGAGGCTGAGGTGGGAGAATGCTTGAGCCCCTTGGGCCACTAAACGTCAGCCTGGGCAACAGAGTGCGACCCTGTCTCTTTAAAACAAAACAAAACCAAAAAAACTTAGTTTATAAAAACTTCATAATTTTTACTTAATGAGTGTTTAAATCAGTAGAAATTTTAAAAACGGATTTCCCCCAAAAAAGAACTGATTATTTCTTTCAGGTATGTGTAGCACCTTGAATGTGTTTACAAAGGCATTGTCCTTTTAGTAAACACCATTGTATTTATACTTCACATTAGTGCCTTAATGATTAAATAAGTAATAAATAATAATAATTAAATATGTAAAGATGATGCTTCTAAGCTATAGTTTCTTTCTTTTGCAATTCTCAGTGTCTCCAGGGAAGTTCTCTCTCTCCTCTCCTTTTGTATTATGAAAAACCTCTATTCCTGAGTTAAGAGTGTTTGTGCCTGTCTCTTATCCTAGTCTCCCCCTATTCCTTATGAAATCAATCACCAAGTGCTACCTTTTAAATATTTTTTTGTAATTAATTCAGTCGAAGCTTTCTAGACATACTTTCATATCTAATTTCTTGTTTTCAAAATCTACCCTTTCTTCCTTGTGGCTACTGTGTTGATTCAGATCCTTATCATCGTTTTCACCTATAATAGCCTCCTTTTGTTTTTGTCGGTACACCTATACCTAGAGTTGATCCAGAGGGCTGACTCAAGCCAGCATCTCAGAAAAGAAGGTTGGGAAGAATGTCATTTAATCACTTGTGGTAAAAACATATCTGTCAAGAATGCCAAACGTTGCTTGTCTTATTCTTCCTTACATTGATCTTCTTGGGAAAACAAATTAAAATTGGAAAGTGCTTGCCTAGGGAATCTGATGTCAGAATTAAGACAGATCATGTTTACCACGTTAACTGCCACGTGAGTTGTATTTAACTCATGCTAGTTTTGAGCCCAGGGCCTCATGAAACATACATAACTCACAAGTCTCTTCACCTTGGGAGCCACGAGAACTATTTTTCAAGTTGTACATAACTCATGCACAGAAAACAATAAAAAATAACAAATTTTTCATTAAATAGAAAGGATCATTTTGTTTTTGTAATTTTTATTCTATTTTAATAATAAAACACTGTGGCCCCAAGGAAAAAAAAATTTTTTTCTTGTGTGGCAAGCAATGTGTTAAAGATTATCACCATCTTGATAACATTCTTTTTCTCTCTGTATAATGCAGTGATTGTTTTGCAGCTTCTTTTCATATTAACTTTTAGTCCTGCATTTGCATAAACAATGTCCCAATCATCTTGATTAAACCTGGAATCATAGACCATGTCCTATGGTAGGCTATTTCCATAGACAGCTGATAGTACTTGTTCCATACTCATAGGGTCATTTTATTTCAGGATCTCTGGATATATGTATCTGCCCATTTCTAACAGAATAGTATATTTATGTAATAACAGCTAGATATTTGGAATTATGCTTCTCATACTTTTTTCCATCATGCATGTAATATTAGGAGCAGCTAACATTTTCATTTTAAAGGTATATTAGAAAGCTTGTATTAATAGTTATTTCTGACTTAAGAAACCAAAAAACTTTAATTCATGTTGGCACTAGTAGAAAATCTGATTTCCACTCAGATCAGTCCTGAAGGAGCTACAGAGAGAAAACAAATCAGTGTAATAAACATAATAAAAGACCTGAAGGAAGATATAGTGATTTGAAACAAAATATTAAAAAGAAACAAGCAGAAATTTTAGGTATGGAAAACTACAGTAGTCAAAAAATATAATAAATGTAATAAATAACACAGTGCATATAGCCAAGGAACAAAATAATTAATTGGTAAATCAGATAAAACCCCCTAGAAATAAGGAATGGACCGGGTCTGTGTGTATGTGTGTGTGTGTGTGTGTGTGTGTGTGTGTGTGTGTTTATATAGAATAAAAGTAATAAAGAGAATAAATCTAGGTAACAGGAGCCCTAGAAAGGGAAATAAATAAAAATGGAGAAGAAGAAAGAAGTCAAAGAAACAATGGAAGTAAAGTTTCTTTAAAAATATGGCCCATGGAGTGCCAAAAAAAAAAAGAGTGAAGGAAAAATCCTCATTAGACACTATGTAGGGAAATTCAAAAATATTAAAGATAAGGAGAGAATTGTACAACATGGACTTTTAGAATATTAATATTGAAGTCTCTCTTGGGGAGAGAGATCCAGAAAATACTTAATAGAAGAAATGACTTGTGTCCTAAGGAATTGTACAAAATATGAAAAAGCTAGACTTACAGAAATATTTATCATAGCAAAAAAGTACTGGGAATTAAAAATTATACTCATATTTCTTGTAGCATCTCCTGGATTTAATTGTGATGTGTAGGAAGTTTTTCTAGTTCCTTATTTAGGAACTTGGAAGTGTATCTGTGTTGTAGTTCCCAGACACCAAACTCAGAACACCAAATTATAGGTATGTTATGCACACAGTTATTAACATGTACCTGGCAAAGGACTGTAAGCTGCTGCTGCTTTTTTTTTTTTTTTTTTTTTTTTGAGACAGAGTCTCACTCTATTGCCCGGGCTAGAGTGCCGTGGTGGACTGTAAACTCATTGCATGGTTCCTGCTTTCCTTTTGCTCAGGTTCTAGTTCAAAGAGTCAGAAACATAAGGAATAATTATGGAAAAAGTGTGAGACAAAATTATTAAAATTAACGGTTCAAGAGTAGTTTTTTTCTTCATTTTCTAACATCAAATGTGGTCATTACTTTTTATTTAAAACAGAAAAATATTCACAAAAAATGGCAAATTATTTTAATAGCTGCTGTATCTAGTAAGGTTATGTTCTTCGTTTTACTTGGCACATTTTTTACCTCTACTAAATATCTCTTTTAATTAAAGAAACAGAAGAAAAAATTACGGTGTAACATGTACATTTCATGATGCTTCTCATGTAGGCTTATGATTGATAATTAATTTAGATGTGTCTTATCCCTTCGTAGTTGAAGTACTTGCCTTCATTTACTTGACAGTTCATATTTTTATACTTCATCTGAGCTATGGTTTTCTAGAAGAAAAAACCACACCAAGTACATATTCATATCATTATAGATTCATGATAACAATTGTAGTTGAAACTTAAATTGCTTTGCAATGTTAATACACCTATCTAGAAAACTTTTACTTTTTGCCATAACTGTTTATC